GCTTTGTATTACTGTGTTACTTCCTCTTCCATTGTTTTAATTACTTCCTGATATGAGGTGACAAGACTTTCGGACCGTCTTGTAAATTGGAAGCTACTTTTTGTTAAATGTAACCGCAAGTTCTATTCTATAGTTTATTGTTAACATTTCATCTCTCCTCCATCTAATTCTCAACGTCATACTTCCCTCTTTACTACGATCTTCAAAAACTTAAATGCAACGCCAGTCGACATTTTTTGTTTCCTTGAATCCTGTTCTTTCCATTGTCCTTTCTCCATAATTTTTTTTTTTCTCTGTGTCATTCAATGCAGTATTTATTGCGTCTTATTGTAAACGTTATGACTTTCGCTTTCGGAAAGGATTAAATAAAAAAATAAACTTTGTTTTTTTCACATGCCATCGTTGTTTGCACAGTTCCTAGTGACCCGCCCTTACTACCCAAATATATCTACTTCTCTACTTTGGAGCTAATATATTGCTTTTATTTATCATACAATTTTTTAAAGCAAGTTCACCCCAAGCAAGACAGTAAAGCCACTAAGACACAAGGGGTTACTGGGCGTGGAAGAATTAGAAAACAGAAACATTACTAAAGAGCCAGAAAAAAAATAAAAAATTGATTGCCAATTGTGGGCATATAAAAGAGTTTTTTTTCGAGAAGTGCGAAAAAAAAATGTCAGAGTAGAAATTTACGGTTAGGTTCTAGCCAGCTCAACGGGAAATTGGTGAGACCTTTGAATTTTAAATATTTTATGTTTATATTCACAGTCGAGAGGATAAAATTTGAATTACCATCATCAATTACCATGAAAGGATTTATAGAAAAGGTATAGTATTAGAGACAACCCTACGGAGCTGAGTAAGTGACTGAAGCCGAGATGCCAGGTCAGGTCCAATGGCAGACTTATAGGTATGCAAGATAGCTTCTGGAGAGGAAAATTGTCTTGCACGACACAGTGAACCAAATTTTTTAGCAGCTGACCTAGCCTAAATTCAGTCTAGTCTTTCCCCTTCATGTCAGCCGAGGACGTTAGCCCGAGAAGGCGTAACAAGTCAGTCTCATGGAGTTTAGCATCAGCCATGCCAATTGGAAGTAGAAAAGTGGGATCATTAATGGTTTAATCTGTGTCTTCACACGGAAGGGCATTTTATTGTTTTGGGTCATGTCTATGCTCTTTCGTTTTAACAGTATTGTCCATTGATAAAATTTTATTTTTTCCTTTAAAGGTGGCCTTAAACATTGTTATTATTATATTTCCAATTAGTAATTCACATTTTAATTATTTTTGACATTGAATATTAAGTGACAACAAATGTCCTCAACATAGATAAAAACAATAATTCATGAATAAATACAAAAAAGTTGGAGGAACCAGATGAAAGTGCTTTATAAAGACTAAGCAAATTAAAAAGTTGCAGTTCTAAGCTTGAACTACATATCTATATTTTCACTTTTTTCCCATATCTAATCAATGTAGTGATGGAAATCGTTATAATAATGGTGATAATGGTAATATTAGCCGTTTTTTTAAACTAAAAATAACATTCAGAATTCATTGAATTTCAAGCAGCCAGTTATGCTTTTTAGTATTCTGTGGGGATCAAAGTGTAGTATCTGTTTTCATCTCTAACGGTAATATTAGCCATTTATTTATAAGGAAACATTGAACATTTATTGACTTTGCAACCAGTGACACTTTCAGATGAAATTTATAAACTCTTTATTTGATAAATTTTTTAATGAAAAAAGGGTTTCTCAAGTTCACTGTTATCTTTCTTTTCAATATTGATGGCGGTTTCCTTCCTTCAACTTTTATTTGAAGCAGAAATGGAATGTCAAATAATTGATTATGTCATTATTTTCTCTTCTCAAGCCCAGTAACTGTTATCGTTCTTTCCTTTATTGATGGAGGTTTCCTTCCTAACCTTTTGTTTGAAGTAGTGTGGAATGTCAACATCTTGATTATATCATTATTTTCTCTTCTCAAGCCCAGTAGGTAGCTGTTATTTTTTCTTTCCATTATTGATGGGGGTTTCCTTCCTAACCTTTTATTTGAAGTAGTGTGGAATGTCAACATCTTGATTATATCATTATTTTCTCTTTCTTTCCCAGTAGCTGTTATCGCTCTTTCCAGTATTGATGGAGGTTTCCTTCCTAACCTTTTTTGTTTGAAGTAGTGTGGAATGTCAACATCTTGATTATATCATTATTTTCTCTTCTCAAGACCAGTAAATGTTAAAACTCTTTCCCAGTATTGATGGAGGTTTAATTTTCCTTTTTTTTTTTTGAAGTAGTGTGGAATGTCAACATCTTGATTATATCATTATTTTCTCTTCTCAAGCCCAGTAGCTGTTGAAAACTCTTTTCCAGTATTGATGAAGGTTTCCTTCCTAATTTTTTGTTTGAAGTAGTGTGGAATGTCAACATCTTGATTATGTCATTATTTTCTCTTCAAAAGCCCAGTAGCTGTTATCACTTTTTCCAGTATTGATGGAGGTTTCCTTCCTAACCATTTTTTTTTTTGAAGTGAAGTAAAAAATGTCAACATAAAAATGATTATGTCATTATTTTCTTTCTCAAGTTTCCAGTAACTGTTATCGCTCTTTCCAGTATTGATGGGTTTTCCTTTCCTAACCTTTTGTTTGAAGTAGTGTGGAATGTCAACATCTTGATTATGTCATTATTTTCTCTTCTCATTCCCAGTAACTGTTATCATTTCTTTCCAGTATTGATGGGGTTTCCTTCCTAACCTTTTGTTTGAAGTAGTGTGGAATGTCAACATCTTGATTATATCATTATTTTCTCTTCTCAATCCCAGTAGCTGTTATCGCTCTTTCCAGTATTGATGGAGGTTTCCTTCCTACCTTTTTTGTTTGAAGTAGTGTGGAATGTCAACATCTTGATTATGTCATTATTTTCTCTTCTCAAGCCCAGTAGCTGTTATCGCTCTTTCCAGTATTGATGGGGTTTCCTTCCTAACCTTTTGTTTGAAGTAGTGTGGAATGTCAACATCTTGATTATGTCATTATTTTCTCTTCTCAAGCCCAGTAGCTGTTATCACTCTTTCCAGTATTGATGGAGGTTTCCTTCCTAACCTTTTGTTTGAAGTAGTGTGGAATGTCAACATCTTATGTCATTATTTTCTCTTCTCAAGTCCAGTTTGTTATCACTCTTTTCCAGTATTGATAAAGGTTTCCTTCAAGGTAATATTTATAACTTCCAGTTTTGTTTATAAGTAGTTGGAATGTCAACATCTTGATTATGTCATTATTTTTCTTCTCAAGTCCAGTAACTGTTATCGCTCTTTCCAGTATTGATGGAGGTTTCCTTCCTAACCTTTTGTTTGAAGTAGTGTGGAATGTCAACATCTTGATTATGTCATTATTTTCTCTTCTCAAGCACAGTAACTGTTATCGCTCTTTCCAGTATTGATGGAGGTTTCCTTCCTAACCTTTTTGTTTGAAGTAGTGTGGAATGTCAACATCTTGATTATGTCATTATTTTTCTTCCTCAAGCCCAGTAGCTGTTAAAACTCTTTCCAGTATTGATGGAGGTTTCCTTCCTAACCTTTTGTTTGAAGTAGTGTGGAATGTCAACATCTTATGTCATTATTTTCTCTTCTCAAGTCCAGTAACTGTTATCGCTCTTTCCAGTATTGATGGAGGTTTCCTTCCTAACCTTTTGTTTGAAGTAGTGTGGAATGTCAACATCTTGATTATGTCATTATTTTCTCTTCTCAAGCCCAGTAGCTGTTATCACTCTTTCCAGTATTGATGGGGTTTTCCTTCCTAACTTTTTATTTGAAGTAGTCTTGGAATGTCAACATCTTGATTATTCTTTCATTATTTTCTTTTCTCAAGTCCAGTAGCTGTTATCATTTTCTTTCCAGTATTGATGGATCTTTTCCTTCCTAACCTTTTATTTGAAGTAGTGTGGAATGTCAACATCTTGATTATGTCATTAACATTTTTTTCTTCTCAAGCCCAGTAGCTATTATAAAAGAGACTGATTTATTCTTCTTTCCAGTATTGATGGAGGTTTCCTTCCTAACCTTTTATTTGAAGTAGTGTGGAATGTCAACATCTTGATTATGTCATTATTTTCTTTTTTCAAGTCCAGTGGCTTGTTATCTTACTTTAACCTTTAAATTTCATGGGTTTTCAAAATTATCTTTGAAATTTTGAAAAGTGTGGAATGTCAACATCTTGATTATATCATTATTTTCTTTCTCAAGTCCAGTAGCTGTTATCACTCTTTCCAGTATTGATATTTTTCCTTTTTTTTTTTTGAAGTAGTTCGGACATCAAATCTTGATTAAATCTCAATTATTTTCTCTTCGAGTTATATGTGCTATCCATGGAAAATCTTGACTTTCTTTTGAAATCCTGAAGTGATGTGGTTTCTTTTATTTCGTAAAGTTCTTTGTGATTCTGTAGCGCCAGTTCGAATGAAGAAGGGTCCTTTCTAAAACCTATAGGCTTCATTCACTCGAGACCATTGAACAGTGATATCCGGTATCTGGCACGTTTTCTTCATGTTGACGACAAGCTAAAACTTCACTGTTCAATGACATTTGTTTATTTTCATCTGCTCATTCCGTTCATGTGCGTGCGTAGAATGTTTGGCGCAGATTTCTTGTTGATATGTGGAAATGAATAATGGGGGGTGAACCCTCGAATGACTGTTGTTGTTGAAACCTCGTCTTTTAAATTCCTAAAAGTGACCTGAAACAAAAGCGTTTATTTTATTTTCAACTTTCTCTTCGCTTTGCCACGTGAAAATTTTTTAGACATAAGTCATTTTTGAAAAATGATTGGTTGTTTCATTTGAAAGGAGATTTCTGGGGGTCATTAGATTTTTAAAAATGATTTTTTTCACTTTGCTTGATGTCATAAAATTTTCAGATACAAATTGGTATACATTAAAAAAACCTGTTTACTTCGTAGGTATCTTAGGTTATTTAACATTTCACCACAACCTGTGATTGTATCTATCTCAGTCTGTTCATATCTATCTATCTATATATATATCTATCTATCTATCTATCTATCTATCTATCTATCTCAGTCTGTACATATCTATCTATCTATCTATCTATCTATCTCAGTCTGAAAATATCTATCTTAAATCTATCTATCTATCTCATTCTGTACTTTTATCTATCTTAATCTATCTATAATCTATCTAGAAAGTCTATTCATATAATATATCTTTCTAGATATCTATCTATCTTAATCTATTTATCTATCTATCTCTATCTCAGTCTGTACATATCTATCTATCTATAAAGGTCAATTAAAATATCTATCTATCTATCTATCAAAAGCCTTTTTCAAATCTATCTATCTATCTATCTCAAAATTAAATATCTATCTATCTATTTATCTATCCAAAATATATCATCTATCTATCTCAGTCTTTAAATAAAAAAATATCTATCTATCTATCTCAGTCTGTTAAAATATCTAAAATCTATCTCAGTCTGTTTATATCTATCTATCTATCTATCTGTCTCAGTTTGTTTCATATCTTTATCTATCTATCTCTGTTATTATCTATCTATCTATCTATCTATCTATCTATCTGTCTGTCTGTCTATATAAAAAAAACATTGTTCAAATTCTTCATATTTATCTATCTTTATTACATACACATATGGAGATAATTTGTGTGTGTCTATAGAAATTGCATCATCTATCTATCTCAGTCTTAAATATCTATCTATCTATCTATGGAGAAAGTCTGTACATATCAAATCTATCTATCTGTCTGTCTGTCTGTCTGTCTGTCTGTCTGTTTTATCTATCTATTTCAGTATGAAAAAAATTTAAATTTATCTACCTTTTACACACACACACACACACACACATTTTTTTGTGTATATTTTTTTATAAATCTATCTATCTATCTCATTAAATCTATCTATTTATCTATCTAATATCTCAGTCTGTACATATCAATCTATTAATCTGTCTGTCTGTCTGTCTGTCTTCTGTCTGTCTGTTAATATCTATCTATTAAAAAACTTTATTTTCATATTTATCTATCTACCAAAAATTCCATTTATCACACACATATTTTGTGTGTATGTTTATTTATCTATCATCTATCTATCATCTATCTATCTATCTATCTATCTATAAATCTAAATAATCTTAAATCTCAGTATATGTTCATATCTATCTATTATTTATCTATGTGTTAATCAGTAAATATTTATTATCTATCTATCTATCTATCTAAACATCTATATTATAAAAAAAATATGTTCATTATAATCTATCTATCTATCTCAGTCTGTTCATATCTATCTATCTATCTCAGTTTGTTCAAATCTATCTATCTATCTATATATCTATCTATCTATATCTATCTATTTCAGTCTCTTCATATTTATCTATTTACCTACACAATACATGTGTGTATTTTTTATTTTAACAATTATTTATCTATCTATCTATCTATCTATCTATCTATCTATCTATCTATCTATCTATCTCAGTCTGTTCATTTTCTATCTATCTATCCTATCTATCTATCTATCTATCTCAGTCTGTTCATATATATGTATCTATCTATCTCAGTCTGTTTATTATCTATCTATCTATCTATCTATCTATCTATCTATCTATCTCAGTTTGTTCATATCTATATCTATCTATCTAAAATCTATCTATCTATCTTCTTCTCTTCATCATCTATATATCTATATATTTATATTTACTTTTGTTAAATCATATATATATATATATATATATATATATATATATATATATATATATATATATATATATATATATTATAAATATATCAATCTGTTCACATAAATTTATATATCTAACTGTCTATATATATCAATCTGTTTATATCTATATCTGTGTATTTGCATGTGCGTGTGCTTGCATGTGTGTGTGTATAAAATAGGATATAGAATACCGATAAGTTTTTAAGCAATTTGACAAATGGAAAATCATTTCAATTCGATAGAAAACTCTGTGGTAAAATGTTAATAATAACTTTCGACATGAAAAAAAAAGGCCAATGTCATCATCAGGGTATTGTGCTATGCCGAAAGTACTCGGAAATAAAAGAAATATGTATGTACGGGCGATTTTCTCTCGTCCTTCAGTAATAACACCAAAAAGTTTATCTGTGAATATAAAAGGGTCCAACTGATAATAAGTAAACAGAACATGCCTAAATTATTCAACGATGTGTATATATATTCTGGAATACCAAAATTTGCTTCAAGATGAAACAGAACTAATGCTTTTAATTTAATTATATAATTAAATTTTAAGTTTTTAGCTTCGGTTTTTGAAACATGGTGTAGCGAAGAAACCATATTAATTTTCTATTTAATTTTATATTTATGCTCTGTAAATTTACATTGAGCACTGTTTTGTAAAAAAAAAAATATCAATAAGAACACCGGATTATATATCTTAGTTCTTTTTTTTTAAAAAAAAAATATATATATATATATATATATATATATATATATATGTAGAGAGAGAGAGAGAGAAGAGAGCATTAATTTCAATTTCGTTAAAGAAGACTGATAAGGTACTGCAATTAAGTTTTTTATTTAATTTTTTCTTGTGTTCATACAAGTGTTTTTTTTTCTGAAAACAATTTATGTAACTTGGGAAACTGCCCAAAAGTTCTGCATATCTGAGCGCTTTCGGCTATACTTCTAGCCATTACTAAGGATGATTATATTTTTACTTTTTAACTGAATGTATGGGTTGTGTATATATCTAGTTATAAAGGTATGATTCTATTTCTAAATAAAAAGGAAGCTGTGGAGAGTCATGATTGTACACATCCTGAAATGACATAGCAAGTAAAGATGAGGAGGAACTGTGCATTTCTCATATTATTTCTCTCTCTCTCTCTCGCTGCATCTCTCTCTCATTTTTCTCTCTATCAACGCATATCTGTATCTCTCTTTCTCCTTTTTTACTCTCTATCCTCGTCTCACTTCTTCTCTCTCTCCCTTTCTCTCTCTGTCGCCGCATCTCCCTCTCTCATTTTCTCTCTATCCCCGCATATCTGAATCTCTCTCTTACTTTTCTCTTTCTATTTCGTCTCACTCCTTCTCTCTCGCGCCCTTTTTCTCTCTATCGCTGTTCTCTCTCTCTCTCTCTCTCTCTCTCTCTCTGAATTTTTTCTCTATTTAATTGCATATCTGTATCTCTCTTTCTTTTTCTCTCTATCCTTGTCAAACTCATTTCTCTATCTCTCCCTATTTTCTCTCTCTCTCTCTATCTCGACGCATCTCTCTCTCATTTTTCTCTCTATCCCCGCATATCTGTATCTCTCTCTTTCTTTTTTTCTCTCTGTTCTTCCCTTTCTCTCTCTCTCTCTCTCTCTCTCTGTTCACGTGCATGTCACATGAAAAATATAAAAATCAATCTACGTTTCCAATCATTTGTGTGCCTCTTTCATGTTTGTTTATTCCTTCTAGGGACACAGATCGTCCTTCGACTTTTGTCTCTGTCCATTCGTGGGCGTCGGTGTGGGTTAGGGTTCGTCAGTTTACGAGCGCACGTGTCGGCGGGGGAGTGGGTCACATGGAAAGAACAATTACAACAAATTTAGACAATTGACGACAGTCAAAGACTATAATACACATGCGCAGCCAATCTAATAATATAAAGAACAATTTTAATAAACAAGTCGAGTCTGGTGTTCGTTTGTCACAGAAAAAAATCATGGGATAATTGTTCAAAATTAAAAGACAAATAGAAATTATGCAACATCGTCTGCTGAGAAAACGACACAAAGTTTTTCTCACGTAAAATAATTCTTTACTCGTTTTTAACCCGTGAAAATTTCAGGGTTTTCCTATTTGAAATTTCTGATGAATTTTAATTCTTGAATTAATAATTGAATAAGCTCATGGTGAGTTCTATGACAATAAAATATCCGTAGAAATTCCCCTATCGTATCGTTAAATATTTGAACTTAACAGCTTTAACAAAATATTGGAACAACAATCAAAAATATGAATGCTAGTTGTTATTTTAACAAGTAAGGGATACAAATGAAAAGATTTGGAATCGGCAACAGATTTTAAACACCTCTTTCTTTCTTTTTTCTTTCTTTCTTTTTTTTCTTTCTGCCTTAGACTGTTTCTTTATCTATCTATCTATCTATCTATCTATCTATCTATCTATCTATCTATCTCAGTTGCTTTCTTTCTTTTTCTTTCTTTCTTTCTTTCTTAGGCTGTTTCTTTATCTATCTATCTATCTATCTATCTATCTCAGTTGCTTTCTTTCTTTTTCTTTCTTTCTTTCTTTCTTAGGCTGTTTCTTTATCTATCTATCTATCTATCTATCTCAGTTGCTTTCTTTCTTTTTCTTTCTTTCTTTTTCTTTCTTTCTTTTTTATGTCATAGGCTGTTTCTTTATCTATCTATCTATCTATCTATCTATCTATCTATCTATCTATCTATCTAAGTCTTTATTTCTTAGGCTGTTTCTATCTATCTATCCCAGTTGCTTTTCTTTCTTTTTCTTTCTTTCTTTCTTTCTTTCTTTCTTTCTTTCTTAGGCTGTTTCTTTATCTATCTATCTATCTATCTATCTATCTATCTATCTATCTATCTATCTATCTATCTCAGTTGCTTTCTTTCTTTCTTTTTCTTTCTTTCTTTTTCTTTCTTTCTTTTTTATGTCATAGGCTGTTTCTTTATCTATCTATCTATCTATCTATCTATCTCAGTTGCTTTCTTTCTTTGTTTTTCTTTCTTTCTTTTTCTCACTGAAACTAAGTAGCGTCTTTTGTTTTTCTACGCAATGAAAACGGAATAGTCTATTATTTATGAGGTATTGGCAGGAGGCATTAAACACTTCTATCTCTCATCCTTTCTTTCTTCACCTCTTTCTTTCTTTCTTTTTTTCTTTTTTGATTTCATTTTCTCACTGAAACCAAGCAGTGTCTTTTTCTCTCTTTCCACGCGATCAAGAAAGAATAGCCCATTATATACGAGGTACTGACAAGGGGTAACGGTCGTGCGAACTAACGAAGGGAGGGTCAAGCACAATTATAACAGGATTCACTTCTGTAATCTGTCAAATTAACGCTGGCCGTCGACGGTATGTGGTTTTCGAGACATTCTTCGAACGTTCGATCTTCCCCCCGCTTCTTCTTGCATCTTGTGAATCTGTTGACTTCTTGTTTATTTTGGCGCACCAATTGACCACTTTTAATGCCTGATTTCGTACTTGCAGGCTATGAAGTTACTTTTATGGTCAACCCTCAAGTAACCTAGCTTTTTTGCTGTTCTGATGTGACACCGAGTACAAAACCTACAGTGAGGGATATATCCATGGTCATAATTTATTCCATTGGAATCGCAAATACGATCCAATTCATCAGACCTACAAACATATATATATATATATATATATGATGGGTCTGATAAATGGAATGATTGGCAATCAATTAAGACCTACAAATATATATATATATATATATTTGCAGGTCTGATGAATTGGATCGTATTACGATTAGGTTTTAATGGAATAAATTATGACCATGGAATATTAGTGTTTAACCCTATTTATTATATATATATATATATATATATATATATATATATATATATATATATATATATATATATACAGTGAACTCAGTACATATTGGGATAATCTCAACTCTTCTTAAGAAAAAAAGTTACTAACCACTGGTATTGTTTTCGTTAATCTCATAAGAAGATTATGAAGATTAAGAACGAATATTCAAGCTGATACTATGATATTTATTTACATCATACTAGGATTATTAAACAAAGCATACTTGTCATATTGTTTACAAGTGGACACTGATTTCTTGGACCTCTATGTGCAAATCTACTTTTTGAAATTGACGCTTCATTAGGGCATAGAGTTTCAACAACACCACATTATGCACTTACAGTATAAAGTCTTTCTTCTAGACTGGTTGCCAACCAAGGCTCAAATGCCCATTCTGCTCTGTTATTTACGTCGTTGTTGATAGCTGGGGAGGTGACGAGACGTAGTTATGCCATTCTCAAATGTATTAGTACGATGTAAACGCAACAGCTTCATCCGGATTTTGAACGTGACTCACCAGTTCCATTTTCGGCGTCAATAACTCTTACGCCACCTACATTTCCGCAATGTAGAATTAAGCTGATTCAAAAGTTGCCAATGGATTGTTTTACATAATGTTAGGGAAATCTTAGGAGTGTCAACACCATCACTTGATAAGACACCAGAAGTGCTGAAACAAAATGGTTATTTTTGTAGTGATTTTATAACATATTTATGTTATAATTTTCGAATAAATAATTATATTTGCTCTACTCTGTATTGAGCACTCTTTTAAGAACAGTATTTGTTGATTATTGGAATTTATTCCGCATACACCAATCCTGTACTTGGGTATATATATATATATATATATATATATATATATATATATATATATATATATATAAATAAATAGATAGTGTGTGTTAACTTTCTCAGAATAAATCTGTAGAGAAGACAAATTTGAATAAAAATAGACAATCGGAAAATACGACTTAGTCCTTGCCTAATATCCAAAAAGAGGCTTACACAGGATCCTCTCGTTAACATTTTTGAATTTCATTTAACTACACAACATTTCGCTTTTGTTTATCCTTACCTGCCTTAATAAAGTGAAATGATTTTGGCGGTTATTTTACCGGAAGTCGTTTATTTGTTTATTTAA